TTGGGAGAGGAGTGCCTGCAGGGTGTATTGAGGGGTAATTGCACCTGTGGGTTTGTTAGACACCAACAAATTTTCTTATGTTGGGGCTGTACCAATAAGTGTTTCCACCAGCAGCTTTTGAGAACCTCTTTTCCCACAGCCCTACTCACAGAAAGTGCCATTACACTTTTGAGGTTTTGCCAGTCCATTGAAGGAGAGTGTATTGCAGTGGAGTTTGAATTTACATCTCTCCTTTCTGAGGAGAAACATTTTTCAGATGCTTAAGGACCATCTTTATTATTATTTTTTTTTTTTCTTATTTTTCTTGGAGTCCGGCTCTGTCATCCAGGTTGGAGTGCAGTGTTACAACTCTGCTCACTGCAACCTCTGCCTCCCATGGTCAAGCGATTCTCCTGCCTCAGCCTCGCAAGTAGCTGAGATTACAGGCACATTCCACCATGTGCTAGGCTAATTTTTCTATTTTTAATAGGGACAGGGTTTCACTATGTTGGCCAGGTTTATAGGCCATCTTTATATTTTTAATTTTTGTTAATTGTCTGTTCATGTCTGTTGCCTGTTTTCCCAGTGGATTATATTGCCTTTTTACCTCTCCGTTTTTAAGGTTTCTTTATATAGAGAGAATATTGTCTTTGTGAGACTGTTACATGTTTTCTCCCAACGTTTTCGGTTGTCTTTTGACAACACCCCGTTTTGTTATTTTCTTTAAGATGAGACTCGCTGTGTCACGCAGGCTGGAGTGCAATGGCGCGATCTCAGCTCACTGCAACCTCCCAGGTTCAAGCAGTTCTCCTGCCTCAGCCTCCTGAGTAGCTGGGATTACAGGTACATGCCACCATGCCCGGCTAATTTTTGTATTTTTAGTAGAGATGGGATTTCACCATATTGGTCAGGCTGGTCTCAAACTTCTGACCTTGTTATGTACCCACCTCGGCCTCCCAAAGTGCTGGAATTACAGGCATGAGCCAGTGTGCCCGACCCTGGGTTTTTGTTTGTTTTTTAGATGGGGCCTCACTCTGTTGACCAGGCTGGTGTGCAGTGGCAGGAGCTTGGCTCACTGCAACGTCTGCCTCCCAGACTCAAGCAGTCCTCCCATCTCAGCTTCCCGAGTAGCCGGGACCACAGGCATGCACCACCATGCCCAGCTAAATTTTTGTATTTTTGGTAGAGATGGGGTTTCGCCATGTTGCCCAGGCTGGTCTCAAATTTCTGAACTCAGGTGATCCTTCCACCTCAGCCTCCCAGAGTGCTGGGATTATAGGCATGAGCCCCACTGCACTGGCCCTGCTTTCTACTATTTTTGATAATAACTAAGGCCACAGTACATATGTGGATTGGAATATATCTCTTTACTAATGGTGGGAAACACACACACTCCATAGATAGAGATGCTTGATAAATATCAAGTGCTTGTCCCCTGCCAATACAAATGGTCTTCCCAGCATTTTGTTTTCTTTTGTTTTGTTTTGTTTTTGAGATAGTCTCGCTCTGTCACCCAGGCTGGAGTGCAGTGGCACGATCTCAGAACACTGCAACCTCCAACTCCCAGGTTCAAGTGATTCTCCTGCTTCAGCTTCCTGGGTAGCTGGGATTACAGGTGCACACCACTTCACCTGGCTAATTTTTGTATTTGCAGTAGAGACGGGATTTCACCATATTGGTCAGGCTGGTTGCAAACTCCTGACCTCAGGTGATCCACCCGCCTCGGCCTCCCAAAGTGCTGGGATTACAGGCGTGAGCCACCGTGCCCAGCCCTTTCCAGTTTTGTTGAGACAAGGCTTGTGAGAATGTGATGCAAGTTGTGAACCTTCCCCAGAAAGAAGTGCATATGCACAGCACAGCCCAGCTGCAGCATCTGCTTCTAACAGAACAGTCGAGCTCCATCCACTTTCTTTGACTTAATCATCTTCATGCTCCACCCACTCTCAGAAAGATGCGAGTTGTCTCTGACGCTGCGTGCAGGCCCATGCACCTCTTTGCCTTCTTGTATGTTGTGCTGTGTTGTGTCTAACTTGTGGCAGTTTTCTGTTTTCCTGCCACAGATCCAGGCAGTCCTGACCTGGAACAGGGAAGCAGGACTCTCTGGCATGGTGTTTATGCTACCCCACGCAAATCTGGGGTAGCTGAAATCTTAGCAGTAATGTCCTTCGCCATATGTCAGGCAGAAGCTGGCTGCCCACTAAGTAAGCTCTTTCTGTGTCGGCACGTGTGGATGCAGAGGGGCTGGTGCAGGCAGACTGCAGCTTTGTGCTTACTTGGACACATTTCTTGACCTTTTGGAGCTTCCGTTTCATTACCCAGCATAGATGCAGCACAGCTAAGTATGAAGAGAACAGTGTCTGAAGCCAGACTCTCTGGGATGAAATTCAGGTTGGTTCCAGCATGTCAGAGCTATGTAATGCCTGGTACCCTCTGTGCCTCAGTTTCTTGAACCTCGTAAGTGACTTAAAATGGGAGAACTTGTAGAACAGTGCCTGGCACATAGTGGGTGCTCAGGAATTGTTAGCTTTTATCATCACCAACCACATAATCCATATTTGTGGGGTATTGTGAGGTTTAGCTCAAATCATACAAATGGGCTCCACACATTTTAATCCATTAAGATGTTTAGAAACAGATTTTTAGGCCATGGCGTGGTGGCTCACACCTGTAATCCCAGCACTTTGGGAGGCCGAGGCAAGCAGATCACCTGAGGTCAGGAGTTGGAAATCAGCCTGGCCAACATGGTAAAACCCCGTCTCTAGTAAAAATACAAAAGTTAGCTGGGCATGGTGGCATATGGGAGCTGAGGCAGGAGAATTGCTTGAACCAGGGAGGTGGCAATTGCAGTGACCCCACACTGCCACTGCACTCCAGCATGGGTGACAGAGCAAGACTCTGTCTCCAAAAAAAAAATAGTAAGATTTTCAGAAAATCTTTCACTTTTCAGGAAGAAAGTTTTTATTATCCGTGGCTTTGGGTTGAGGAAACAGCGTTAATCTCACTACAGGAGATTGCTTCCCTATCAGTTACTTCCACCCGGGAGGATCTTGACCCCAGTGGCATTCTGTTCTGAGCTCAGCACAGCCCAGGCTGCCTGTGCTCCCCTTTCGGCCAAGTTGATGGATATCTTAGCTTCTCAGTTTCTGAATTGTCCCCTACGTGGTCTCCCAGGGTGCCTGCTTGTGGGAAAATGTTTGCTGTTGAAAGCAGTTACGAGCATTTTGCTCACTCAAGTCAGTGGCCACGTGACCTTTTGTGGTGCATGCAATTTTATCATGTACTCCTGGCCAAGCGCTACCTAGTCAACAGACTCCATTAAGTTGGCGAAAAGCATTCTCAGGCTGCGGACATGATGTGATCTGGCTTTAGCTGGCAGAGGTGCATGGACACTGCCAAGGCTCCGAGGAGGAGGATTATTCAGAATAATGGCAAACAGCTGGGTGCGGTGGCTCATGGCCTGGTAATCCCAGCGCTTTGAGAGGCAGAGATGGGAGGGTCACAAACCCAAGAGTTTGAGGCCAGCTAGGCAACATGTGAGACTCCATGTCTATGAAAAAATTTTAAATTAGGTAGATGTGGTAGTGCGTGCCTGTAGTTCCAGCTACTCAAGAGACTGAGGCGGAAGGAACCCTTGAGCCTGGAGATCAGTGTTACAGTGAGCTGTGACTGAACCACTGCACCCCAGCCTGGGCAACAGAGTGAGGCCCAATTTCTAAAAAGAGATGATGATAATGATCATAGCAAGCACACATTGCATTCTAACCAGGCGCCAGGCACTGTACCAAGGGCTTAAATGCAGCATCACATCCGTTTCTCACGGCAACCCCACACGGTAAGTGCTTGTGATTTCTACATTGTACAGATGAGGAAACTGAAGCCAAGAGAGATTCGGTAACATGCCAAGGTCACATGGTATGTGTAAGGGGCACGAATGCAGCCCCACGGTCTCCCTGCAGAGCCTGTGACGCTGTACCACACTGACGCCTGAGCAGAGTGCCTCGCTGACTGGAGAGCCACAGACGCAGCACCAAAGGTCAGGGGCCAGGGTTTCCTGGCATCCACCAGCCTGACAGACAACTGTGCAGGGCGCCAGGTGGCTTTCTCATGGAGCGTCAACAGAGACACTTCCTCCCCAGCAGAACACAGACCGTCCCTCCCCTCCCCGCTGTTGGTTTTACCCAGGCTTTGTTTTCTGAAAATGTGGCTGGGCCTGCTTTACATGCCTAGCAGGGCACTGGGAAACGTACTGCAGCGGCTGGAGCCAGCTAGCTTTTTGGAGTTTTAAAAGGACTTTCAGAAGTTCTATTTCTCCCCCATTGAAAGGAGGGTAAAGGGTTTTTATACAGTTACTTCTTTTGAGAGAAATGGGGGAACTGTGGGACCAGTGAATTTCCTTCTGATAATAGAAGAATGATGTCTGTGTCCAAAGCAGGAGAGTTGAGACTATTTTTATGGACACACTAAGAAATAACTGCATTCAGAAACAAAGGAAATTACCAAAGATGAAAAGAAAGGACTACAGATGGGGAAATGTGTGGCAGCATTGTGTGTGATTACATTAGTATCTATTCCTGAAATGAGGGAAAATTGACAGATTACTAAAGCCAGCAGTAGTAATTGGGCTAGTTTGCTGAGGGCTAGAAGTCAGTATTTTGCAGATTGGGGTCTGTTTCTTTTGCATGTCAGTAGGGTTTACTTAGCATATTACCAGCAGAACTAGTCCAATTGTAGCTCAGTTTTTCCTAAGCAATGGGAAAGGCTGCTTATGCTGTCTGAAGGTAGGGGCTGTGGAACGATGATCTTCTTAGAATTTAACAACACACACTGAGACTGAAATTCTTTGATTGGAAATGTGATTCTGTACATACTTGGTGTTCTGATGTCAGTGTCTCCCGAATGTGCATAATCCAGCCCCGCTACTTCCTATTTAAAGGCATATACACATGATTTCTTCATCCAGGGATCGGCTGCTTTGTTGCTGCCTGGAAGCAGCTTATCTCAGAATGCTCTTTCTGTTTCAGGTCTCTGTTCTAGGATGCCCTGACCCAGTGGTACATGAGATCGCCTATCAGTACGGGAAAAATATAGGAATAGCTTTTCAGGTGGGTGTGCTTTTTATTTATAAGAATGGTGGTATAGTGACACAGTCAGCATCCTCCCGTAGTGTGTAATCGTTCAAACAGTAAGAATGATGGTGGCGATGTTGGCGTGGCGGTGCTCCTTACATCCCATTTTTCCTTTTGCCAGCTAATAGATGATGTTCTGGACTTCACCTCATGTTCTGACCAGATGGGCAAACCAACGTCAGCTGATCTGAAGCTCGGGTTAGCCACTGGTCCTGTCCTGTTTGCCTGTCAGCAGGTAGGTTTTGTAGGTTTTACAAACCCCCTTTGACGCATCACTGGATAGCCCCACAGAATTGATGTCCCGTGGCACAGTGGATAGGATGGCATTTAGATTAGAGGTCGCAGGTCTGCATTTGATCCTGGCTCTGAGTGAGATGTTGGGGCTGGCCATTTTGCCTTGCTAAGCCCATTTCCCCGTCTGTAAAATTGAGATGGCGGCCACCTTCCTCCCAGGGTGATTGCGAGGTTTAGCTAAGATCCTATTTAAGGTCTTCGTGTCTTGTGGTGTGCTGCAAGCATGTGAGGTAGCATCATGATTATTTCCATACATCTTGGGCACTGGCAAGGTGAATGGTTTCCACATCTTGATTATAGGACTGGGCTTTGGTGGTCCTCAGAGCCCCTTAAAAAGGCACAGGAAGCATCAAGGGCATAAGAAATTCTCCAGTTCTAGAAGTGAAATGAGATTATGCTGCTCTGAGAGAGGCCTTAGAAGTTAGGCCATTGCCTCAAATTTCAAGAATTCAGTGAAGTGCGGCAGACCCAGAGTTCCTCCTTCCTCCAGATGAAGGGACTGGGAAGTAAGGAAGTCGGTAGAGCTGTCCGCATGTCCCCCTTTAATGTGAATGAAAGGCTTAGGAAGCTTCAAAGATGTTCCTGCAACGGACAAAGCAGACAGCCTCACAGCCTCCTCCAGACGCTGGCCACATGGCTTTGGCTGTACTGAATGTTACTTGAAATAAGTGAGACATTAGCTGGTGTTGGGACATCTTAATAGATTTTTATCTCAGTAGTACTTAAATTTGTTATGTATCAAAGCAGTAACATGTTCGTCACTGTGCCATGAAATTAAACATTAGCTCTTTGGTCTAAAATTATAGTAACTTTTGATCTTTGAGAGATTTTGCCTCTATTCTGTCTTCACATTTACAAAGGTCAATCATGTCCTCCATAGAGATCAGTGATTCCACTGTGATACAGAAACCACGGCCCTTGCTTTTGTTGGGTTTCTGATTGGAGAGGAAAGTTTATCTTTCACTCGCTATCTAGCACAGCCATTGGCAGTGTGATTCTGACCAGGGGAGGCCAATGTCCTGGGTGGCTGGGCCAGGCTACTTTGGTGACTTGCTGGTGGACAGCAGCGACTGGAGGAATAAGGGCTATGAACGGAGATATTGGGGTGCTTTGTGGGAACACCTGCCCTCATTATTACAGGGTTCCATCCTCTCAAACTCTGGAGGCTGAGGGAAGAAGTGAAAGGTATGCCATACATAGGCCCTTTCTCCCAATGAGAGTTAATACTTGCCAGCCCAAAATCAAGGAGCATAATACATGTGCCCACTTTTAACAACAATTTACAAAACCCCCTTTTGTACATTAAGGCATGAGTGAGGAACATCTGAGCCATGTAGGTGTTATGCTGGGGATTATAAAAATGAGTCATTGGCTACCACCTATACAACTGCAAACATTACTTTCCTACATAGTCTCTGTCAGTAATCTACATGAGATTGAAAAATGCTAGGTTAAAAAAAAAAGGAAGAAAGAAAGATTACTGTGCCCCAAGCTACAGTTTATGTGCTTCACTGGGAAATCCCAGTCATGAGGCACCTACTCACGCTCCCCAGACAGCAGTGTTCTCATCTGCTCATAAGGCAGTGAGTTTAAAAGAAGGCACGTTGCAGCCTCAGAAAAGGGAACACAGAATGAGTCCAAGCAGGAAGCGACTCTGGACAGGACTCATTTCAAAAGTAGACTGATGTTTCTCTCTTGTGACACATGGGCCAGCCAAATAAGTATTTAAGTTGTATTCTAGTAAGACAGCAAGGTTCAGCTCTGTTGTGAAATATACTGTCAAACAAGAGATTCTTAGCAAGAAATGTGTCAAAAGATTTATGGGACTAAAATTAATTCTGGGTAAAAACAAGTTCCAAAAATAACGTAAGAATGTGCAGTTTCTCCACTTAATGAAAATGTGTTTTTAGTTTACAGAGGATCCTTTCATACAATATCTCTAATCTCACAACTCCTCTTTGTGGTAGATACGATGGTGGCTATCCTACAAATAAGAAACTGATGCTCAAACCTTGCCAAAATTAAACATCTGGTAAATGGCACAGCAGGGAATTGAGCAAGTCTAAGACCAGTACTCATTTCTTCTATCTTACATAGTGTTATTGCCACCGGTAATGCTGAGAAGTTAGTAGCTATGACACCCAACAGGCCTTCCCACAGCGCAGGTGACTAACTCCCCCAGGCACTGATACTCCCAGCATCCTCTCTGTGTCATGTCTTCTTTATTGTGAACAGCGTACCTACTTAGTGGAGTCGTTCTGAGATGTCTGGAACCCTTTCCCTTTGGTAGGTGAGTTTTGTTTGCTGCTGAGATAGTCTTTGCACTTTTCCATTTCTGCATACTGGACCAGGACAAGCGTTCTGGGGAAACCACCGTTTCCTTTTTTAACTTACTGTGGTGGGTTGTTTCGGAGTTTGCTCCACCCAGCACCTGACAGACTCCCTCTCTCTGGAATTCATTTATTTTTAACATCTCTCTTAAGGGGTTTCCTGATACTGGTTGGTCCAGAGGATTTAAGAGAGTTTTGGGGATTTCTGGAGAAGTCCCAGGGATGAAAGGATGACAGTCTCCTTCCATGCACGTATGTGCACATATTTTCTTTAAGAACAAAAACTCCATGTTAATTGGATTTCTGAAAGCTTCAGAAACAAAATGGAGGTGTTTTCCTTTCTCTGGTGAGATGATACTGCTTTTCAAATATCTCTTTAAAAAAATATATTTCCTTTCTTCTGTTTCTCTTCCTTATTTGATAAGTCACTAGACCTAAATGTCAGGCTGTAGCCACGTTTCCAAATGCCATCACCAGCCCCTGCACCAGCTGCACACGCCTTATGCTATCGTGGTGACTAGTTGGTGCCTCAGAGTTACCCACATTTTGTTTGGGTAAAAACAAAACTTTACGGATCACCTTGGTGGTCTAGTTTATGGATGGATTTCACACTTACAACATGATTTATCCACAAGTGGTTTTCCCACTCTTTAAAGCAGCACCTGAGCAAACAATTGTTATTTCTCACTAAATCTGCAGGCAGCTATTCCTCCTGCTGTGCTTCTTTTCTTTTCCACGTACACATTAAGGGGCCTGGGGAGTGCCTGGAAGAGTCTGCTATTTGCATATTAAAATTGCACACACGACATGTTTGGAAGGATGTAGTCACTCAATGCAAACATTTTTTCAAATTTTGCTTTCTCAGTGCTTTTTATAGTAAAAGCATCAGAGAAAACCACCCAATCAGTACATCTTCCTACACATGCTGGTACTGTAGAAAAAGCTTATACGTCATAAACAAGGTAATGTCACCAGATGTCTAGGAGAGGATCACATCGGTGTTAAATGATAAAACCTTCTAGATATCCAGTATTGGTATGTGGTATTAAAAAAACAGGCTGTGTGTGGTGGCTCATGCCCATAATCCCAGCACTCTGAGAGGCCCAGGCAAGAGGATCACTTGAGGCCAGGAGTTTGACACCAGCCTAGACAACAAAGCAAGATCCCATGTCTATAAAAAAATTTACAAATGAGGTGCACGCCTGTAGTCCCAGCTACTTGGGAGGCCGAGGTGGGAGAATCACTTGAACCTACGAGTTTAAGGCTACCGTGAGCTATGATTGCACCACTGCACTCCAGCCTGGGAAACAGAACAACTCTCAAAAAATAAAACTAAAACCTATTTGATTTGGCTTTTTTACTAAAAAAGTTGATTGGGACTTCCCTGATTTCTTTCTAGTAGCTTGTTTTCTTCTTAAAAAACCAGTAACTAAAGGAAATTACTGGTTTTCATAAGAACTAACCAGTTGCTGGCTCTATAAATTCTGTAAGGATGTTAGCAGTCTCTACATATTTAGAGCTTGGTTCTGACACATATTTTGGTCTGAAAAGAACACTGTTTCTTCATCTGCGATCATTTGCCTGAGGCTTTTCTATGTATGCCCTATTTTTTCTTCTAGAATTACTAATACCTTGGTCATGGTTACAAGACAACTTACTTCATCCTTCAGGTTCACTGCCAGGGAAAACCTGGCAGCTGCTGTAAGCACTGACGTGGCCAAGACCAAACACTGTGACATCTTAGAGCTCTAGGGCAAGGTCACAGAGATGAGGGGCCTAAGACCCCAGGGACTAAGGAAGTCACACTCAGCTGTGGCAGCTGGTGGCCAAACCAAGACTAGAGCTCGGATCTAGGCAGTGAAGTGATTTGGTGTGCTGGCTTTGTATTCTGTTGATGGTGACAGATCTAAATAGTTCCTAAGTATTATGGAATATAGACTTTACCTTCAGTTTCTTTTTTACCTATTTTTTTTTCCTGTTCTTGCTGTCAGCTTAATTCAGGCCTTTTTTTATAACCTACTACAGTAACCTGTTTGTTCCATCTCCATGACTCTTAATTCCATAGGTCTCAACCTTGGCTGTACATTAAAAACACCAGGGTGGGCGAGATGGGGTTGAAAGTCCTGGTGCCCAGGCTAAACCCCAAGCCAATATAACCAAAATCTCTGGGAACAGGATCTAGGCAACTGTATTTAAACCTCCCCAGGTCATGTGCACTGGCTCACACCCGTAATCCCAGCACTTTGGGAGGCTGAGGTGGGCAGATCACCTGAGAATCAGGAGTCGGAGACCAGCCTGGCCAACATGGCAAAACCCTCTCTCTACTAAAAATACAAAATTAGCCTGGCATGCATGGTGGCATACATCTGTAGTCCCAGCTACTAGGGAGGCTGAGGTAGAGAATCACTTGAACTTAGGAGGCTGAGGTTGCAGGAAGCTGAGATTGTGCCACTGCACTCCAGCCTGGGTGACAGCAAGGCTCCGTCTCAAGAGAAAAGAAAAATCTCCCCAGCTGATCCCAGTATGCAGTCAGTGTTATTGCATAACACTGCTCAAATCCACTCTACACACTGCTTAAGGCAGAGCTCTGCACATAAAGCTCTCAGCTCAGAAAACTCGGTAGCGTTCAGTTGGCCCTCAATTTAGTAGTTAGAGTAGAATGCCCAATTCCCATCCTCATCCTAGGCCAGTGGCTCTGAAAATGTTGTTGGCAGAGATCAGAGATAATGGTGTCACCTGGGAATCTGTTGGAACTACATGCCTAGGCTCCAACCCTACTAAATCAGAAACTGAGGGAGGCCCCACAGGCAGCACAGGCATTAGGAATGATACAATCTAAAGTTTAAGAACCATGTCGGGTTTTGTTGTTGTTTTGAGATGGAGTTTCACTCTTGTTGCCCAGGCTGGAGTACAATGGTGCAATCTCGGCTCACTACAACCTCCACCTCCCGGGCTCAAGTGATTCTCCTGCCTTAACCTCCTGAGTAGCTAGGATTACAGGTGCACGCCACCACACCCAGCTAACTTTTTGTATTTTTAATAGAAATGGGGTTTCACCATGTTAGCTAGGCTGGTCTCAAACTCCTGACCTGAGGTGATCCACCAGCCTCTGCCTCCTCAAGTCCTGGGATTACAGGAGTGAGCCACCATGTCCAGCCAGAACCATGTTGTTTTAGATAGGTACTTTATTCCTCCTGCCTCTCTTACTCAGTGTGGGACTAGGATAAAACATCAGAATAAACAAGGACGAACGTCTCCTCCTGCACACGTACTGCAGTGCCTGGGCAGAGATCGGATGTCTCTTCGCTTTTGTTGCCACTTTATCGCTCCCCCACATCGAGACATTTAATTACATTTTTGCTGTTTCTTGTTATTTCCTATTGTTACAAACTAGTGTTAGAACACTTGTTTCTCCCAAGAGAAATAAATAAATTTTCTTTTTCGTTAGTTCCCAGAAATGAATGCTATGATCATGAGACGGTTCAGTTTGCCGGGAGACGTGGACAGAGCGAGACAGTATGTATTACAGGTAAGACTATTTTCAAAAGCAAGGCAGCAGCAGGAACAACATGGCAAAGTCCTTTAATCCAAAAATGTTACATTTAAACTAAAAATTAAATTACAGACACAAGACTGGTCAACTCTTGATATGAAAAAAAAGTTGAGGGAAAAGTCAGTTTTCTGATTTTTTTAAATTAATTTTCATTTCTCTTATAGACTACTTATGAAAGATTTTAACTGGTCTTGGGTAAGGCTCAGACATTAATGTAAGGTACCTAAGTGATTCTGGTGAACTGTTAGGGTTGAAGCCCAGTGGTGTGCAGCCAGCCTTCCCTGTGTATCCATCAATAGAATCACTGGGCCACCAGTCACCCAGCCGTGGCTCCAGCCTCATCCATGTCCCCATCTGGGCTGCTGCAATAGTCTACTCATAATTGGACTTTCCTAGTCTGTCCTATGTAACTGTTATAAAAGTGCTACTAAAATGATCATTCAAAAAAGTTACACCAACTTAGGCAAATATACATTTATATAAATGTTTTTCTTCTAAAGGAAGAATGGTTTAACCCTGTTCAGGGGCTAGTGGCTAGTTTCAGATATATTGCCACGTATCTTCAGAACTTTTCTGTGGAAGCCAGATCTCTTTGCATGACTTGAGTTTTGGTGACTGACTCTTTTGAGAATTAGCCATTTCCCAGTTCACTATCATTTACAGCCAGCAGACCTACTGGATGAGAGGGAGGGAGCAAACAATTGTTACAAAGCAACTGAGGTGTGAGATCTATACTTAGTATAGTACTCAAAAGACTTCCAAATAATTACCTTTCAGACTTCTAAAAGATTTTAAAAAGCAACCTCCAGCCCCCAAAAGGTTATTTTTCTTTTAACGGACTGTACTGTTAAGCCTTGTAATTTGCGTTACTGCTGTTTTTGGAGAACGGTTTGAAAGTACTGTTAAAAACTATGGGAATGAGCTATAGCTGATAAAAGGAGTCAGTATCCCTGGGAGAGGTTCTGGCTTCAGAAATAATAGTATATTATTGAGGACTGGAGTGAGAAGTGGAACTGAAAAGCAGGAAATTAATTGTAGCACCGATGGAAAATAGCAGAGTTCCAGCAGTCCCAGCCAGAAATGCATTTACAGAAAAAAAAAAAAAAAAAAATCCATGGGAATGTTCTCTAAACATCCAAAATTCTAGCTCCCTGTTCACCCACAGAGCTTCTAGTCCCTATTTCCTCATTAAATGTGAATAGACAACTCAAGATTACAAAAGAGTTGACCGAAGCTTGCTGAACCAAAGAACAGGACCAAAATAACAACCAAAAAAAACTTGGGGAAAAAAATAAGAGGATTCAAAAAGATACCGCATTCACAAGACAAGTCAGGATCATACTTTTTTTTTTTTTTTTTTTTTTTTTGAGACGGAGTTTCGCTCTTGTTACCCAGGCTGGAATGCAATGGCGCGATCGCGGCTCACCGCAACCTCCGCCTCCTGGGCTCAGGCAATTCTCCTGCCTCAGCCTCCTGAGTAGCTGGGATTACAGGCTCGTGCCACCATGCCCAGCTAATTTTTTGTATCTTTAGTAGAGACGGGGTTTCACCATGTTGACCAGGATGGTCTCGATCTCTCGACCTCGTGATCCACCCGCCTCAGCCTCCCAAAGTGCTGGGATTACAGGCTTGAGCCACCGCGCCCGGCTAGGATCATACTTTTTAAATGAGTAAGAGCAAGCTCTAAGAAACTGAAAATCACTGTGAGGAACAAACTCCAAAGGGCTGCAATGTAAAATTGAGGAAATCTTCCCAAGTATAAAACGGAAAGGGGGAAAAGTGAAAAATAGAGCTAAGAGGACTGGTACCATCATGTAACAAGTACTTCAGGAAGAAAATAAAGTTGTCCTCTCTGCAAGGAAAAGGTGTCAAAACTGGCTCAGTGAATGGCAAAAATACTGGATGCTAGAAGGCAGTGGAGCAAGATCTTCCAAATGAGGAGGAAACTTTTTTTTTTGTTTTTTTTTTTTTTTTAGATGGAGTTTTGCTCTTGTTTCCCAGGCTGGAGTGCAATGGCGCCATCTCGGCTCACCGCAACCTCCGCCTCCTGGGTTCAGGCAATTCTCCTGCCTCAGCCTCCTGAGTAGCTGGGATTACAGGCACACGCCACCATGCCCAGCTGATTTTTTGTATTTTTATTAGAGACGGGGTTTCACCATGTTGACCAGGTTGGTCTCGATCTCTTGACCTTGTGATCCACCCGCCTCGGCCTCCCAAAGTGCTAGGATTAGAGGCTTGAGCCACCGCGCCAGGCCTGAGGAGGAAACATTTTAAACCTCAGATCCACTAAATCTGAAGGCAAAAGAAAGTCACCCCACATCAGGACTAAAAAGTTGACTTCCCATGAACACTTTCTGGGTGGGTTATTTGCAGAGATACTTCGGCAAAATGTGTGAAAAACACAGAGAAGGCAGGCTTCTGTACAAAAAGGCACAGCAAACTAAAATGTGTCATGTTTTAAGCAACCGGTATAGAAAATCAGAGGTCTTTCAACCAGTGTTAGGAATATTCTATTCTAAATGACAGAGGGGGCCGGGCACAGTGGCTCGCGCCTGTAATCTCAGCACTTCCGGAGGCCAAGGTGGATGACTTGAGGTCAGGGGTTTGAGACCAGCCTGGCCAACATCGTGAAACCCCATCTCTACTAAAAAGCCAAGCATTAGCACAGCGTGGTAGCACATGCCTGTAATCCCAGCTACTTGGGAGGCTGAGGCACAAGAATCCCTTGAACTTGGGAAGCAAAGGTTGCAGTGAGCCAGGATCATGCCACTGCACTCCAGCCTGGGCAAAAGACTCTGTCTCAAAAAAAATATTAAAAAGAAATGACGAGGGATCATGAGCCATGGAGAAAGAAACAGAATTATAGTATGACTTGATTCTGCAGTAAGTATTTTTACACCATAGAAATGATACTTTATTAGTATCTGGCTTTTAGAGAGAACCAATATTTTAATACATGGTTACAGAATAGAATGTGTATCTATAGTGTAACAGTATGGTTAGAGGAAGGACAGAAGCACTGGTATACAAGATAAAATCAGAGGTTGACGCTACCTAACAGAAGTATTCAACAAAATAAAGGCAGCAGTGTAATGATCAAATTAGGAGGCACAGTATGGGTGGGCTAAATCCTCATCTTAACAAAAAGGTAACAGATAATAACTAAACTTGTTAAGAAATAAAAACTAGGCTAGGCACTGTGGCTTTACGCCTGTAATCCCAGCACTTTGGGAGGTTGAGGAAGGTGGAGATCATGAGGTCAGTAGTTTGAGACCAGCCTGGCCAACATGGCAAAACCTCGTCTCTACTAAAAATACAAAAATCAGCCGGGTGTGGTGGCACGCACCTGTAGTCCCAGCTACGTGGGAGGCTGAGGCAGGAGACTCGCTTGAACCCAGGAGGTGGAGGTTGCAGTGAGCTGAGATCCCTCCATGTACTCCAGCTTGGGTGACAGAGTGAGACCCTGTCTCAAAAAAAAAGAAAAACTAATGGATAAAGTGAGTGCCTTTGGAAGAAAGGAACTTGATTTTCATCATAAAGCCTCTGTACTTTGATTTTATGTCTTTGTTCTTTATACAAAATTTTTAAATGTAAGAAAAAGTAAAACTTAAGAAATAAAGATTTTGTATGTGTAGAACTTTTAAGAAACTCTAATAAGTAAAAATTAGGGGGAAATGGATGACTACATAATAATGATGAGCTAGGTGCTTTGCATGCTAACAGAATAAAAATTTGCTTCTATATGAGAAAAAAAAAAAAAGCTATGCTAAATGAAGTTAGGACTGTTGTTTGACTGTTAACTGTAACCCTCAGCTCATCCGATCTCAAAGCTGTGTTAATTTATTGTAGCAGGAATTCAGTCAGTGACAGGCATTTGTTTTGTTCTGTATCTCGTAGAGTGATGGTGTGCAACAAACAACCTACCTCGCCCAGCAGTACTGCCATGAAGCAGTAAGAGAGATCAGTAAACTTCGACCATCCCCAGAGAGAGATGCCCTCATTCAACTTTCGGAAATTGTACTCACAAGAGATAAATGACAGCTCTTCCTGTTCTTTCTGGCAGCTATCTTACCAGACTGTGCCTAAAGAATTTTATGGAATACACTGTTTGCTTCATGTGCAGATAACCAAAAATCATTTTAAAAGATATCACTTATTGATGGGCAATTTATTTTTTTTTATTGCAAAAGTTTTTTCAGAAAACTTTTTAAATGTAATTAAACCATCTGAATCTGTCATTCTAGTCCTATAAATTCTAATCGAGGTATCTTGATGGTTATATGTGGTATTGTTTACACTGTTAATATCCACATGTAAGGCCATTATACAAATAAATGATAAAATTCAATGGTTTATCTTGATTTACTATAGGAATAAAGGTCAGACAAATGTGAAGTCTGCACTGAAGTCCACGAGTTATATTTTAACAGTATCCAAAATTTTATAGGAGAATGGTTTATTATAAAAGACTGTACATAAAATTTAGACAATAGGTTATATACAAATTAAGAGAATAATCCACTTGAAAAATGAAAAGTAGAAGGTAGCTACCTGATCACTAATGACACCTTGTTTAAAATTAACAAAGGCAAAATGCACATGAAAGTCACATTGATTTGATAGCAATAATGTTCTTTAATTTTTCGAAATAAATGTTTTGCACTATTCTTACCATTCACTATGCTGTTAAAAGTCTGTAACGTCCAGTATATAACGGTAATTTGAATTCCAAACAAATCCTCAATAACACAAACCCACACTTGAGTGTTCTACTTTAATATCCTAGACAATGTAGAATTATACACAAGATAGGAAGAGAAAACATCCCTCAACCCTCCCTTAAGAGGAGACACACAAAGTGCACGTGTTGCATTTCGATCACATCAAAAGACAGTACAAGTCTGTTGGTTAGGAAAATCTCTGTTCACTGATTAATACATGACCCACCCTCTTTCCCACTTTTAAAATTCTAATGTTGCTAGTGCCAGGTAATGGATTCAATAGTGCCTATTCACAAATCAACTGCATCCACTTTTACAATATGTAAAAGGTACTTTTAATTTCCTTTCATTGTTTAATTACCAGCGTACAACAGTGCACTGTAAAACTGAAGGACACGGCAATCCTTAAAAATTTTACCTACAGAATGCATACAATCTGACACGTTTTCTTAGCTTCAAAAGATTCTTTAAAGGAACGCGGTAGACTGACTCGTATATAGCACTGCAGATTCTGAATATGCAAAACTCCGTCACATTGCTGTTGGGACAGACTGAGATAAGGCTAAAATTTTTTTCCAAGTTAATATATTGAGAAAATAGAACCATAATTCTTCAATAAATCATTATATTTTATTTTTTTTAAAAGCAAACCAGTGAAGGAAAGGACAAAAACCTTTGGTTCACTTATGTATTTATGAATGGAAAAAATTTATAATGCAAATTTCACTCATTAAAAAACTTAGGTATAAATTACAACATTACAGATAATTCTCTTTTTGCTTCTTTTTTGTTTCATATGGAGACCTTGAAGACTCAATTCATTTTAAGACACCTAAGTACGAGTCCTCCAGGTAAGTATTACACAAATTGGAAGCATTTTGGAATTTTTAAGTATATTTCAATACATAAATTTTTATGCATGCTTTAAACAAACAGTATTTTTTTAAATGAGAGAATCTAATCAAAAAAGCATGACCAGCACCAGCATTTAAATCTTCTGATTTTAATATTAGTCTGACATAGCGTTAGTAACCATGCTGCACTGAAACATGTAATGGTACAATCTGAATCATGATTCGTTAAATATTATACCCCACTTCCCCACAATATTTAGGCTGGTCATCAAGTTAAAAATGTGTAAGTACATAAGCATAATCAGTTATGGACAGCTTCTTGTATAAATTGCTATTTAGCAATACACAAACTGCCTCAAAGATTTATGCTTACAGGTAGACATTCAATTTACCAATAAAACAGCATGTCCTGAAAATATGGGCACATTTTAAAACATATTAAGACAGGTCTGTTAACCATAATAGTCCCACAGTATGAGTAATAATCTACTTTAAAAGCAAAAAAAAAAAAAAAAAAAAAAAATTAATCAGTATAGTGCATGATTGATTCAACATAGTTCCCAGGGAACAAACCAGTCACTCGATTGCAGACTCCTTCATACCAGCCATCATCATTCTTCTTTATAACATAAATGATTGCACCCTCCATAAATGACAGCTCATCATCCTTGTCTTTTGTATAATCATATATTGCAACAACTATGGGGAAAAAAATGAAATATCACGAGTGCACTATATCCAACATTTACTTGAATTTTAAGACAATGCCAATATACAGCACAGCAAAACCAACTATTTTTATGAAGATTCTTAATTCTTGTATTTATCAATATAAGTATGTCAGTGGTCAACCATGTACTTAAATCACTGGCTTAATCTTAGGGCCAAATGACAATCTGATTAGACTGAAGAGGCCAATAGGTTCTGTCAATCTCTTTAAGAAAGCTCTCTGAATTTTAGTATTAGATGTTTTGATTCATTCAAATATCTACCAAGTGCCTATCATATGCAAAGCACAGCTTTTCAAGATAATTAGAAGGCAAAGAAAGCTGCATAACTATTCAGTAGCAGGTAACAACCCAAGCTATACAATTTGAAAATACAGTTACTGGAAGGTAAATCACATCCTACTTATTCCGGGACCCATGCTAATTTGTGGGACTACTCCCAGATTTCTTAAAAAGAATATTTACTTACTCTTAAAGGATTTTAATTAATACTTAGAGAACTTTGCAATTCTGTGGTATCTGTGATTCTTTTCAGTTCAAGATACAGGTTGAGTAACCCTTATCTGGCATGCCTGGGATCAAAACTCCTTTGGATTTGGGAATTTTTTCAGATTTGGAATTTTACATACATATAATGAGGTATCTTGGAAGTGGGACCCAAGTCTAAACACAAAACTCATTTTTGTTTCACATACACATAGCCTGAAGGTAATTTTATTCTTCCCCTGGGAACACCAAATCAACTGTGTCAATTCGCCTGCATTTTGACCGTAACCCATCACATGAGGTCAGGTGTGGAATTTTCCACTTGCGGCATCATACTGGCATTCAATAGTTTCAGATTTTGGAGCATTTTAAATTTGGGACTTTCAGATAGGGATGCTCAGCCTATATTCACCTGCTTTGCAAACTTGTAGAAAGAGAAAGCAATCTAAAATGTACAAAAAGGCCCATGGACAAATCCAAACCATCGCATTTTGTGAAAATAAAGTTCAATTGCAATAGGGTCACATCTACTTACTCATGTATTGTCTCTGTCTGCTTTTACACTACCACAGCAAGACTGAGTAGTTGTGACAGAGTGCAGAGCCAGCAAAATTTAAAATATTTACTATCTGGCTTTGTACCAAAAAAAGTGTGCCCACCCCTAGTTTAGGATTATTATTCCAACTTGGGAAGATATTTTTTAATCCTGCTCTTCTATCAAGTATATTAACCAATATATCATTCCAAATTTCTCAACTTATATAAATATGGTCCCATTTTCATATATTTGCTTTACCAAATAAGCAAATATGGGTAAAATTTCGATTCAGGGCCACTCAAGTTTATCAACCTCATAAGTAATAACACCTATTTGAAGGTATATGGGAATCTAAACTAGAATATTTAAGACTTTCTTAACAATATGTAAATCAGCCTGGCACGGTGGCTCACAAGGTCAAGAGATCGAGACCACCTGGCCAACATAGTGAAACCCTGTCTCCACTAAAGTGCAAAAATTAGCTGGGCACAGGAGTGTGTGCCTGTAGTCCCAGCTACTCAGGAGGCTGAGGCAGGAGAATTGCTTGAACCCAGGAGGCAGAGGTTACAGTGAGCTGAAATCGCACCACTGCATTCCACCCGGATGCCTGGCAACAGAGTGAGACTCTGTCTTAAAAAAAAAAAAAAAAAAAAAATATATATATATATATATATATATATATATATATATATATGTAAATTATCTACTGTTTAAATATGTAAGGCCGTGTGTGGCTCACGCCTGTAATCCCAGCACTTTGGGAGGCACCAAGGTGGCTGGATCACTTGAGGTCAGGAGTTCAAGACCAGCCTGGCCAACATGGTGAAACTGTATCTCTACTAAAAATACAAAAATAAGCTGGGTGTGATGGCGGGCACCTGTAATCCCAGCTACCTAAGAAGCTGAATGAGAATCACTTGAACCCAGAAGGTGGAAGTTGCAGTGAGATCGCACCACTGCACTCCAGCCTGGGAGCCTGGATGACAGAGCAAGACTCCATCTCAAAAAACAAAAAAATATGAAAAGAAAACAAATGGCTGGGTGCAGTGGCTCATGCCTGTAATCCCAGCACTTTGGGAGGCCAACGTGGACAATCACGAGGTCAAGAGATGGAGACCATCTTGGCCAACATGGTGAAACCCCCGTCTCTACTAAAAATACAAAAATTAGCTGGGCACGGTGGCACGCGCCTGTAGTCCCAGCTACTCTGTAGGCTGAGGCAGGAGAATTGCTTGAACCCGGGAGGCAGAGGTTGCAGTGAGCCGAAATGGTGCCACTGCACTCCAGCCTGCTGCCTGGTGATGCAGTGAGATTCTGTCTCAAAAAAAAAAAAAAAGAAAGAAAAAGAAAAGAAAACAAATTTACTTTTGCCACATATCCAAAACTCGGGCAGGAAAGAATGCTGCGGGTTGAAGGAGTTACAGCTACTTGCTTAAAGTCCATCACCCAATTAAAGCCAATAGAAGGAAATATATTTCAAAGGCAACCAAAAGTCATCAACTAAATCATAGAATTTTTCAGAACTCTATAGAAATACAGATTTTAGGGCCAGGCACGGTGGCTCAAGCCTGTAATGCCAGCACTTTGGGAGGCCGAGGCGGGTGGATCACAAGGTGAAGAGATCGAGACCATCCTGGTCAACATGGTGAAAACCCATCTCTACTAAAAATATAAAAAATTAGCTGGGCATGGTGGCGCGTGCCTGTAATCCCAGCTACTCAGGAGGCTGAGGCAGCAGAATTGCCTGAACCCAGGAGGCGGAGGTTGTGGTGAGCTGAGATCGCGCCATTGCACTCCAGCCTGGGTAACAAGAGCAAAACTCCGTCTCAAAAAAAAAAAAGAAAAAAGAAAGAAAGAAATACAGATTTTATTTTTATTTGATTCCCACTTCTGCAGAAAGAAATACAGATTTTTAAACAGCACAAAACTGAATGAAAAAAAGCCTCTAGAAACAGGGTTTCTTCCCCACCTATATTTCTTAATAGATAATTATAGTAAATATTGGATACTCTAGGTAAATT